GGGGGGGGGGGGGGGGGGGTGAGTGGGGAACAGAAGCCACAGCAGATAATGTTCAGATGAGCAGGTGCTGGTCATCATCAAAGTGGAGGGATATAGCTTATTGGGAAGAAATGGAGCTTAGTATTGTGGGCCTCATGCATATTTATCAAATGTCATATGTGCTTGTGATCTTCTCTCCACTACGGCAGCCAGCGGAAAGAGGGTACAGCATTCACTAAAAGGATTGCAATGTGGAAAATGGAGAGCAACATAGAAGTAGACATAGGGCTCCAGGCAGTATTGCAGAATATATTTAGGGTGGTGGCTGCTAACGGGCACACATGATCAGGCTGTATTTTAGACAATAGAGGCAGCTGTGCAAGGTAAGTTGCTGCAGAGAGTGTAGGAAGAGCTGCAAAAACATTTTTGTGGACAGGGGGTGGGAGCTTGTGAATCAATCTGCGATCTCCTGTATAACATATCTTTTTTATTACCAGAAGTTCGACAGACTGTTGAATGATAGAAAAAGAGAAGCAAAGCTTGTGTTTGCATCTTATATATGCTTTTTCCCCATTTCAGGGGTACGCTTTACGTGTAATAAAACAATTAGTTAGCAGGGATGGAAAACATGGGCACTTCCCTCATGTAAGGACCCAGCACACAGGCAAAGAATGCCAATTCATGTGTTATATGAAGAGGGAGGAAAGTGGAAGAGGGTATTGTTGCTCTTGCTAGCTAGTGTGTCTTGTTAGGTAGGCAGTTTGGAACGATATGGTGTTCTTTTTACTTGGCATAGAAGCTAATGACTATTACCATTTTGAAGCTAATAACAATACTTCACTGCTGTGTTTAAAAACTGTTATAAGCTCTGTTTAAATCAGTATCTTGTTTGGTAGAGAAGCTAACAATCTTTGGCTAATTTTAATTAAAAATATATGTAGAGCAAGCTGAAATAGCCAGGGAAATGTCAGAGTTTTCATTAGTGAATATAAAGGAATGTAAGAATTAGAAATATAATGCAGGAAAAATTGTTGGTCTTATGAAAGGGTTATTCTATTGTTTATTCATCCATAATTCCAGGAGGACATGCAGTGGACCCAGAATGAGGAGCTTCCATAGATAATAGTGGCAGTGATCAGTGGTGCATGTGCTGATGAACTACGGTACCTTTATACTGCATAGCATCCTGAGCCTGGATGGAAATAGGTTTAAGGGCAGGTTCACACCATTTTCTGGACCAGATCTGGAACGCAGTGCATTGCATTTTGCTGAGTTTTTACCGCGATTTTGCTGTGTTCAGGAGTTTGTTTTTTTTAGCTTAAAATGTTCTTACTGGTGCAGTCCAGTGCATTTATGCCTCTTTGATGCGTTTCTATGCGTTCCAGTGCATTCCAGACCAGACAAAATAAGACAAGCAGTATTTTTCTGGTCTGGCCTGGAACGGACTCCGCTGGTGTGAACAGAGGCCAGAAACATCGTAGGAATTTTGTGTCTGGAAACAATCTGGTCTGGTCTGGAGATGATCTGGATGTGGAGTAAATGGGCCCTAAAAGTTCTTTTAGTAGTTTCTTTTTATTTTCTATTTGTTTACACAACTGAAAAATAAGTAGCGATTTATATATTTTGTTTCACATACTGTATATCATTTTACAATTGGAGCAGGCTTTGTTTTAATTTTTATTTTTACACATTAGTAAATATAAGGAGATTCATTTTTTACAACTTGCTGTTTTTATTTTGTGTTTTGTTTTTTATATTGATGTGTTTTGTAACAATAATTATTACATTATTTTCTTTCCTAGTTTCTTGAACTACTAAATAAGATGAATTATGTGTTAGCGTATATAGCACCGTGGCAAATAGCTTGGGGATCTTCATTTCATGTATTTGCTCAACTTTTTGCCATACCCCGTATCCTTTTCTTTTACTAAATATATTCATTTATTTAATATTGATCACTACATACTTACACATAAATACTAATATTAAACAAAGAAATTGCTGTGGCGAAACAGAAGGATCTAGTAATATGCAGTCAAAGTATGTATTCATTAACTAAGGATTGTTAAATAGGAACTGCAGGCATAACTCTTCTTTACCCTTGCAGTGGGGTTACCCATGCACTACAAGGGTTAAGTGTTCATTTTTGTTTAGGTTTTTGTCTAAGTTATACTCTGGCATTCCAGTGAGTCATCATGCTCAATACACTGTATTGAATGTGAGGATGGCGGGGGACATTCCATCACTGGAGCAGAGGAGGAGACAGGCTGAAGGGACCAGTCTAGAAGCCGGTCGGCTGCGGGATTCAGGTGAGTATAACTTTGTTATTTTCATCCCTAGAGCACTTAACCCTTGCAATGCGGGGTAGCCCCACTGCAGGGTTAAGGCTAGTTATGCCCAGAGTTCTTTAATTTAATACTGTAGATAGCTTACCAATATTTTTGTATACTTTTTTGCCAATGTGCTCATTATTCCAATAATAATAACAATAATAACATTTTATCATTTTATTAAGGTGCATCTCCAGGAAAAGAATCTTTGTTTTAGACAAGAGAGAAGGTCAGCCTGCAGGGATTCCCCCCTCCCCTTCCCTGTCCGATCCTCCAGCGCTGACTGGTGGAACGGACGGGGAGGGGGCGGGTACAGCTGTCTCTGCCTCTAGATAGGCAGAGCCAGCTATCACTCACGCAGCTGGGTGGACAGTAATGTCGGGATCCGTCCCGGCTGAGACGCCTCAGTATACCGCGAGCTGTAGCTTGCGGTATACTGAGCTTTGGGTAACGGGAGGATGCTAGTTTGTGTCCTCCTGCTACCCTTAGGAGAACTATGGGGAAAAGCCCTGACCCCATAGTTCTCCTTTAACTTAATTATTTATAATTTATTATATTATAATTTTTTAATTTCGTGTTTCAAACTTTATCATACCTGGGATGTCTACTGGACTCTTGTTTGGACATATTTAGGTGAGTTATTCCTAGGATTTACTAAGAACTACAGGCCTACAATGTAAAACAACATATTTGCTTGAAAAACAATGTACCACTTTTGGTACCTAAAATCCTGAATAATCATACCGCCAGGGAGGTTAATGATTGCCACCTGCATGCACGCACACAGTCTCCCTACTGCACCTAGGGTGATTGGCAAATGTAGTAAACTAGTGACTAGTACACATTTTCTCCAGATAATATGGTATTGTGGACATCATTCTACACATTTATTAAGATCAAATATGTACATGGGAGCTCCAAAGACAGTGCTAAAATACATTAAAGTCCATTTCCAGGAACATTTGTGAATATGACACAATGCAAATCATAGAGTATAACAGAAAAATTGGAGGAAGAATATAATTAAACTGTTAATTCACATCCAGTCGTATGTAGATTGCCTAACAGATATTATGCCCAGTTTGCTTTTTACAATTTTTTAATAAAAACTTTTTTTTATTGGTGCTGAAAGTGTGAAAAGTAATATCCAGTTAAAATGTAATTCTTTATATGAACATTGTGGATAGTTCTTAATATAGGAATGCTGCCTTCAGACATTATATGATCGCAGAAAATGTATGTGCCAAGGCAGGGGGAGCATTGACCAGGGTAATGAGGAGGCATGCATTTGAATACTTCCAGATTTAACTGTAATCTGCCGAATCAAATGAAAGTTCTCAAACTTGCACATTGCTAATCACATTATGTTCACATGATATATACTGTATATATACAAGAATAAAATGTTCTCATTATACCTTAACACAATGCCGATTCAGATTCTGCTATGCTTTTCATTCAAACAGCTGCTACTTCAGTCTTGTCAATGCCACTTAGTCCTTTTCTTGGCAGTGTTATTTTTGTAGCATCATATGCAAGACCAACCAAATTCTGGGAGAAAAAAAACAGGTAAAAGTTTAATGACAGGTATGGAAAGTAACAATCTGAGATGAAGAGATGTTGAGGACAGCTATTCTCAATTTCTTATCTTTAAAATTTCTCGCTGCTAGCTCAAACTGATTACAGCAATATAGAAGTGAAATGTTAGTATACTGAAGTATAAGTAGAATCATATGATTATTGTCCGTTGAGTTTTATCAATAATGGATTGGTATGTAAGTCACACATCTCCAAAGTATATTAAATTACTGCATGTTAAAATATTAAATAATACATATATATTAAGGGGTAAAGCTATGTAGTAGAGTTGTATTGGTATATGCGCACTGATTTATAAAATTATATAATTTTTCTTTCACAAAAGCTTATTGAAATCAAGCAAAAGACACATCATAAAATGCAGTATCGTTGCATAATGTCAAATGTACAAAATAAAGAGAAACATTACAAATGAAAGCATAAGGCCATCAATATGAAGACATATAATTTGGTTGCGAGCAGCAAACCACGACTCCCTGTAGAGATTCTGATACAGCACCAATACTAATTCCAATACCAATACCAATTCCAGATATCAAAAGGATTGTCCAGTGTCCATGTCCATTCAGTAACAATAAAAATTAGCAACAAGCTATAACATTGTAGAAAAATTGATGAGGAGGAGATCAAACCAAAGAGGAAAAAGGAGTAAAGTGAAAGAAAAAAAGGTGAGAGAGAGACACACACAGAAGAGAGGAGGAAAATAGAAAGACAAAATCCTGGGGGGTCAAACCATAGCTGATTAAACGTCCAGCAACAAGCGATCAAACCTGGAAAGATGAGCATATGAGATTCATGGTTACCAGATAACAATAAACATCTTATGAGTATCGGTCAAAATTGCAGTGAGTTTTTAATTGATCATAATACCAGGGAGTCCATTCCTGACCGCCTCAAAACTAAGGGTTGGAGTGCGCCAGGCTTACATCGATCACATCTTTTTTCGCCCTGAGGAAGGGACCCCGTGTGGCCCCGAAACGTTGGCATTTGTTATTGTGACGCTTTGTCCAAATAAACGGACATATTGAAAGATATTGCTGAGTGCTGGTGATCCTTGTCTCTACACTGTATCTACACGGCGTCATCTGTGGTCATCACTGCGAGCACCATTTTTGCATGGGCCGGGAATGCTGTGAGGTGTGCAGAGGGTTCTTCTATCTATCTAGGCTTAATTATGACTTTTTTTCATATCAATATTTTGTATTTACATCTCAGGCTAGCAGGTAAAGTTTTAGGTTCTTCAAATTTTGACAGGCTATTCTTTTCTGATTTGCTTAAAAAAATCTGTTAACAGAGCTCAGTAGCTCAAGCTGCAATTTCAGAGCACTAACTTACCCCAACCCCCATCTCCAGTCTACTGTACAGAAAGGGCTTCATTTGAAGTTTTAATTAGAAAAAGTATGAAATGAAACAGTTTCTGCTGCAGCATCACACTTGCACTGTGAACTAAATGATTATTTTTAAAGAAAATAGTTTCATGGTAAGAAAAACTACTATAGTTTCCTTCTAAACCAAAAGCCTTGGAAAGGGGGCCTGCAAAACTGCACATCTACTCTGTAGTCAAATCATGGTACTTTGTCCAAAAAAAACCTGTGTCCAAACAGTAAGGCGTGCTCCTTTCACTTTGTCACATGCAGGTTCTCTGTATTCCTTGTCTTCTATTTTCTTCCAAGAACAGCAAGTGTTGAAACTATAGGAATTTACTTGCAGAACCATATCCAGATCAGACCCTCACCCAACATATCGAGTACAAATAAATCCTATGAGTTTTGAACATGTCTGCATTGCAAAAATGGCTTTATGCTTATAAATAAGCACAAAGACATAAAAATTTTTTAAATGTTTATCACTTTTGCTCTTTTATGTTCTTAGCACTGTGCGACTTGACAATTTGAATACAAGATTACAACAGCAAATTGAAAAAGATCCAGGTAAATGCCTAAATTATTAATATATAAAAAAATAATTTTGTAAAATGACAGCAGGGCTTTGGTTTCTAGTTTCTGTATCTTTGCTTCTATGTACAGTATATATTTTGCTGTACAGTTGCTTTTACTTGTCATGTAATGTTTATATGTACTTGTTTTACTTGCATTACTCACCTTTCTTTGTAATGCTCCATATGGTAACATGGGGGATTGATATTGTATAAATCATTATAATAATATTGCTTAATGTATCTCACTGCTGTACAGTGCGATTTACTAAGATATTCAGCATATAGGTGCACAAGGCTGTAAGTTAAACTTTTACAGGCACCTAATAATAAATGTATGTAGGCAAAGTTAAAGGAACGGCTTCCTGTGAGAGGCATGCAGACTGCCATTTATTTATACCCATTCTGCAATTATTGGTTTCCTGGCTTCTTCTAGCTTTCATATTTTTTGTCTCTTACAACAAACAAGCATGCGGATAAATATGTCTGGCTTTACTCTGACTACAGATAAGGATACTTGTTCCACACAGGGGTGTACTGGGCTGGGGACAGGAGGCAATTTTCCCCTTGGGTCAGTACTAACAATGTTGAGATGGTGACCCAGAGCAGAGATATTACCCAAAATGAATATCTGGAGATATGACTAATAAATAAGCCTTTGCATCTACAAGTATTTAATCTGGTGAAGAAGGTTCAAGTCCTCCCCTGGCTCCAGGTTAGTGACTTAAACCCTACTGAACCCAATTGACCAGGTTCTACTGGTAGCTAGAAAACTAGCATCTGTAGAAGGGACTTGGAAATGGATGCACTCATGTGGATCTCAGGAAAGCTTTGAGTTTTAGAATTTCGTATGTGGAAAACTCAATTTTTCAAGTGCATGGCCTGTGCGGGACCAGCAAAGTGTTAATATTCTCTGTCGATATGTAAGCAGTCACTAGGGACAGGAAGAAACATACTTCAAGACAAGGATCAGGGTCTGTGTTAGGCTAGCCTATATTTTATGCAAGCCAAACTATCACATATCCTTCCCTCTCTCCCCTTATTGCACTTTTTCTCTGAGTGCAGTGGCAACCTATTTGTGTTATACGAAGCGCCAGTCCTATACATGCAGCTCAATTGGAAGAGGGTAATTGTACACATTTATAGTTATTATATACGAACATATTGGCTACCTACTGCAGCCAACTATTTTTCAAATACAACTTTTGTTATCTAAATCTGCATATTAGCTGTAAATAATGGCATTATTGTATTTCTGTGTACATGGTTTTTTCCATTCATGGAAAACTGCATATATTTCCCTATTTTTAATTATACTATTTTTTTGATTTCATTATACTATTTCTTTATTTAAGGAAATGATGACAACAATTTAAATTCCATTTTTTATGAGCATCTTACAAGATCCCTTCAACGTTCTTTGTGTGGAGACTTGATCTTGGGGCGATGGGGGAATTATTCCGCTGGTGACTGCTTTATTTTAGCATCCGATTATCTAAATGCACTGGTACACTTGGTTGAAATTGGAAATGGTTTCATTTCTTTCCAGCTTCGTGGCCTTGAGTTTAAAGGTAAGAAGATATGAGTATGGATTCCCAAGACATAACAGTTAGACCCAGTGCTTCCAGTAATCAGCAGTCATTACGGTATCATACATATCATATTATACTGTCATCAACGTGAAGTGGAAGCAATAACTGAAGGTTATGACATCAATCAAGGATGTTGCTGCTTTCAACCCGGTCATTTGCCTCATATGCTTTCATGTAATTCAGCATTCAACCTAAGATGGCTGACATGGGAAGTAATTAGGGGCCAATACATACTAGAAGGATACAATGTCATTTATAGTAATGCAGCAAATCTGTTTCAAGTATTTGATCTTCGAAAAATTCTCATCAGATATTATGTAAAGGTATGGGCTCTTGTTCATTTCTTATTACTTTCTTGGTAAATTTTGTTAATGCGCTAAATGCCCTTTAAGTTATGTAATCATTTAAAAACTTTAGTCAGAATTTACATTACCAAGTTTTAACAATATGTATGTAATTTTCTTCTATGAGCTTAAAGATGCATCAGAAGTTAAAGTCTGTATTAACATTTATACATTTTATGTTAGTAGGTATAAAACTTCCTATACTTATCTTTTATGCACAGGAAAGCAATGGGCTGGGAGGTGCAGGGGCATTTGCCCCCAGGGCTATTGCTTTTAAAATATGCTAGGCTGGTGGCCCTGAACGAATATACTTCACTAGTCAGACCTCAATCAAAGAAAGACCCACATTCATTGACACATGTTGGATTATATAGCTACTTTGCTCAGACCTGCAATCACAGCATCTGACATAGGAAGTCTTTCAGCACCAACTTCCTTTGTGGCTCTAAGATGTCATATGACTGAATATTGGGGGCCATATAAAAAGCAGAAACCAGACAATGTCAAAACAATACATAACAATAGACCCAGTCCTTTAAGAGAACTAGATGGTTGTGTTTACACACCAGTCCAAAGAATCCCAATCCTCTTTCACTTATGTATGTCATATAAATACATTAGTTTACTCATGATGCCAATGAGTAAATCTAAGTGTGATCAATGCTGGCATTAACAAACTTGACACCCACGTCAGCAATCCATGCGTCAGCAATCCATTTGACACCCACAATTTTCCACAATTAATTATAATATCCAAAAATGCATCCACTATCCCTGCTTAGTGAGTGTGTGCCCCATGTATTATGTTACAATGTATTACAATGTATTGATTGGTTATAATACCTGTATGATGTTAAGAGTACCAAATGCTTCTCTTTTCAGACTCTTTTCAGTGGCTCAAGCCTCCTATGATACAGTATATTTACTCAATGGTGTTTTATATAGGAAGCTCTTATGATATGTCAAACCATCCAACATGCTTTGTTAAAATCAATTAAAACCTTCTAAGCAGACATGCAAAACCCAATGTTGTGTGTGGGCTATATGCAGTACTGTGCAAACGTTTGAGGCACTTGTGAAAAAATGTTGTAAAATGCTTTCAATGCATACGTGTTTCATAATAACATTCATATTTTTTATTTATCAAGTAACAAGGTAGACAGAATTTGAGATACTGCTTAAAAAAAACCTGGGCTAAAGTTTTGTTTGGGTTGCAGTTCTCTTTTAACCCCTTCATGACTGAGCTAGTTTTCAGGTTCTGTTCATAAATGACTGACACATTTTTTACAGTTTTGCTGTGTGATTCTTCCACAGCAGTAATATACTTTCTTACTAAATGTACCCACACATATTATATATAGTTTTTTAGAGGACAGATAGGGCTATATAATTATATCACATATGTGTACCTAACCCCTCACTTAGTTTGAATAAAATAAAAAAAATGAGGAAAAAAACTAGAAGAAAACACTTTTTTCACAAGTTTTGATTATTATTATTTTTTTTTAGAATTTTTTTATATTAATTATAGTATAAAAAATATATTTATATATAATTTATATTTTCCTAATTTTGTTTTACACTTTATTTTAATTTTTTTACACTTTGTAAAAAAAATAAAAATAAAATAAAAAAACTTTTTTTTTTCTTGTCAGTTTATATCAAGCAATCACTATGACAGCTTGATAAATTAACTTTTTTATTTTATTTTTGGCTATTAGGCTGATCCAAACTTAGGAACAGCTAATAATAACCTTAGAGACTGATCCTGACTTTAGTCAGATTCAGATCTCACTAAAAGCTCTTTGATCGTGCCTAGACGATCAGAAATGATACATTTCACTCAAAAGATATACATTGTATCCTTTCAGTGAAATGTATCTAAACATCGGGCTCTCGAGCTGTCAAAACAAATAGCAGAGAGGTGAGGTGAGTCACTGCTGCCTCTCTGCTATTTTGAGCTGTCAAATACGGGATCGCAAATTGCGGTCCTCTATTTGCATGTAACGGCTTCATTCTTTCATTAATGAAAGGAAGAAGCTTTTACAAAAAGCTTAATTATTTCATTAATTAATGCCTCAATACTGAGACATTAATGAATGACTGTTAAATGCTGAGAATCAGCAAATACCGGCATTACAAAGCCTGATATAACTCGTCACGTACAGTGTACGTGGCCAGTCATATAGGCACAAAGTGACAGGACGTACACTGTACGTCTCCCGTCACGAAGGGGTTAAAGTAATGCAGTATTGATATAAATGTGTTTGTCCACAGAGCATAATATACTTTACAACACGTTCACCAAAGCTTCTTCAATGGCTAAATGATGAATCAATGCAGAAGGCTTTACAATTGTACACAAAGTGGGATCATGTAGAAAATGACCACACAATGTTCAATATTAACATAGATGAAGACTACATTCCATGCCTTCAAGGTATTACAAGAGCCAGCTTCTGCAGTGTTTATCTGGACTGGATTCAGTACTGTGCTAAACAAAACCCAAAGGTATGATAAATATATAATTGTTTTTGTGTATACGTGCTTGCTTATTTATATGCATGTCTATATTTTCTGTAATAACTGACATTTTCCAGCTAGCCATCTTAACATGCCAAGGTTGTATTTTATCCACAAAAAGTATTCCTAACTAGCTAATGTAAAGGGCAAATACAACTCCAAATTTTCTTTTTTTTTGTAATTGTAAATGCAATTTTAGTGTTTGTACACTGATTTTGGCAAATTCCTTGCTTTTAGTACCCCCTTCCAGTCTTATAGTCACCTGGCCCTATCTGCCATGAACTTAGCTGTGTGGCCTCCTCAATACTTCAGCCTCAGAATTCTCTACATCAGGCAGCATATCTGTGCAACAGTCCCCATTTATTCCTATGAGGAATTGGTACTCATTACTAGTGCAGTTTCTTTTAAACACATTTTGTTTTAGAATGTGACAAAAACAGCTTCATAGGTGATACCTGAAATCATAGTGGTATACAGGCAAATACATATCCATAATAACATTTAAGATGCATACATAGTAAAGTGAAAAAATAACAAATTGGACAAGGTCACAACAACTGATATAGTAAGAGTTATAGCAAACGGACCAGGTATGGCTGGATGGGCGATAGAAGGATTTCATTAGAGACACTGCATCCACCCTTTACTATTTAAAATCAGTAGAAGGCTCAAGTAATCTAGGCCATGGCTCCAAGCCACAGGTCAAGGAAGCACTTTGGTTATGAAAGAAAAATCTGCTTTTCATGCGCATAATCGAAAGAATTTAGTCTCCATTTCAATTTTGTCCCACATTTTTTAGCAGGTTCTTCATTTGCTAACACTGTGTTTAATGCAATATTGGTTGCAAATTATTTTAGAAAGTGGACTTTGATGAAGACTCTTTCCTGGTAACCATTTGCTTTGGATTGTGCATTTTGGGCAGAAGGCTTCTGGCAACGGCAACACATCACTTGTCTTTCAGGTAGCTGTTGCATTATGTAAAATAAAAATGCAGAAGGCTTGACGTTTAAGTGATAAGGGTAAGTCATTAAAGATGCAAGCTTTCATGACCCCTTAGGTTGCTTCGGGCCCTCCAAGCTTGCATGTTTAGTAACTTAGGATAGACAATAAATGGTACCACTTAACTCCAAACGTGTTGCATTAATTGATTTCTATCATGGTATAAGATTCTACTACTGCTGAAGATTAAAGCTGAATTCCAGGCAGTCAGCTAAGTACACTATTTGAATACATAAATGTTAACTATTATACTGTAGCTGTCTGCTTATTGGACAGTGTAGCAGCCGGACAGTGATGAGGTCATCAACCTGCTCACTCTGCTCTCTGTTCAGTGACTGCATAGGTCCCAGTGCTATACTGGGAATTTGACATTAAAGTGATATTGAAATTGATATTAAACATACCAGTTGCATTTAAAATTACATTTAATAGCTTTTTAATGAATACTTAGCTGAATACTCTGGAGTTTTTTAAATATCTGCCTGAAGTTCAGCTAAAAATATGCCAGAATTACCATTAGCGTTGCTGGGAAAAAAAAGGTGCTAGCTGATATAGGCCCCATTCACACCTATATCTTTAGGTGTGATTAGGGATTCCTGCATCAGGAACTTGCGTTTTCCTGCAGCAGGAATCCCTAATCTGCTGTTTACAAATAGAAGCTGTCATCCGTTCAAGTTAATGATCGCATGTCAGCCGCTGCATTTGAACACTGGCACACCGCATGTAATCGTATGTGATATGATTAAATGCAGTTAGTAATCAACAGCAGTGATTGATTTAGGAGAATCAACAATTCACACATTTGTGTGCAGATCTGTCCCATCCCGAGAATTGTGCAGTTATTTTCATGTATTGTATGATTCTCTATAGAATGGACGAATCAGCATGCATAGATTTAGACGATGCAATGTAAAAGCATTATAATAATTAAAGTAGCACCCTGGATTCCCATTGAAAAATACTGTATATGCTGCAGCACTTAATTATAAGGGCATCTGTACTTACAGTTTTCTCTTAGTCCCTCTATAAAGTCCAACAAATACCTGTTGAGCACTAATAGTGTGCTAGTGTACTAGTGAGGTCCACCCTCATGCGACTTCCAGTGATAGTGTAGTAACGATGCTTCACTGCTCCTAAATTCTGAGCAGAGTTGCCACTCTTATGTAGGTTGTGTTTGTTTGCACTACAGTGAAATGCAAAATGTTGTAGGAGGCATGGCTTTAAACTTGTAGCTTTCAACCATCACATGGCCACACCATGCAGTCTTGCAAACTGCTTTCTGAATTGACAGCTCTGCCTTTGTTGCTAAAATTCTCCCACTGTGAGCTGTAGTGTCTGGAAGGGGTGTGTGTGAGACACAAATGAAGGAGAATTTGGTTTAGTCAGAGAAGGTAAATGAAGTGATGAATAAATAATTTATTTATTGCTAATTACAGAGGTATTCTGCTGCCTCCAAGCCTTGATAAATGTGACTACTCTCATTTTTTATGGTTACAGCTCACCTATATTTGCATTTCAGCTAACCTATTTTAACAGATGTTTGCCTACTAATTTTTCAGCTTGGATTCATTTCTCCATGGCCTTCATACCTTATTTAAAGGACATTATCGAATATCTAAAGAAGAAGAATGGGTGTTTGTGGATATGGACTTGTTCCACACTGTCATTTCTCCAGCAATTCGAATGTCTTTGAAGCTCCACCAAGTATGTGTCCAGTCTCATATTTTGCTTGGACATACATAGGAATATTTAATGAGGCAATGTAAGGAGCTGTAATAATCTCCAAAATGCGGTGTTCCATACCAACCAGATTTCACATTTCATCTTTTTCCAGCACTGATAACAAAAAAAAAGATGACTGCTCTACTTTGCATGTTAGTGAGTACCTTATTAAATACTGTAGCCAGATGGCAGGATTGTTAGACTCTGGCATCCATGGCGGATGCCTTTGGATCTCCTACTGAGTGTGCCAGGTGGTCCTTGCAGTAATTAATGACACTATTCCAAGCATAACATACAAAAGTCAATCTTTGCTCCACTTTGTGAGTTTCTTTTTACTGTCGTTGAATCGCAGTGGATTCAAAAGATACATATACTTTCAGATTAAGTGCAGTTAGCCTGCTTTAAATTCATCCTTACTTGAATTAGATGGTTGTGGCTTACAGGAATATACTTATCCTTTTTCAATTTGTTTAGTGAGGGACACAGGATTCAGTTACATTTGGATTATACTGCCACCTACAGGAGAATTTGGACACTGGCAAACAAAAAACAGTGACCAGCCTAGAGTAACCCTCCTCCTACTCCCAGCATGCCTCAGTTTTTTTGCTAGTGTCTTAGGAGGATAGATGTCTTTTCTCTACCAAGAAATGTTTAAGTGTTTTACTAGTCTTTTTTTCCTATACATAAATGGCTGAAGCCATCTTCCAAAACCTTGTTTTCACTGAGAGGCCCTGAATTGCAACCTGCCACGGCCATGATGTTAGTGTGTTATAATCCTTTATTTGTGGAACGTATAGAGGTAATGCCAACAGTCCTGCACTACCCTTTAGACGGACTCCTGTCGACGGACTCTTGTCTTATTTCCTGTATGAGTCTCCTTTCCATAAACATGCCAAGAGCTCTTTGGTTGAAATGTTGGTCTGTGGCGCAGGCATATAAAATAATTTGCTTTGCATGCCCTTTGAGGGTTATCGTCTCTTCAGAGTTGCTTTGGACACCCTTATGAAGGATGTTACTGGAGATAAGAGTACTCATCTTCCCCAGCAAAAGAAGTCTAGGCCTCAAGCTGAAATCACTCCTTTTTAGTTCCTTTTGTTACTCTAAGGCTTCAGTTTCTAAGACAAAAACTAAGCCTAATCTCACCACAAACTAGAGGCTGGGGAATTTTTGTGTTTTGTATTAATCTCACCACAAACCCTGGTCCCCTAAATCCCGTCAAACCTGCAGACAAGTTCTCTTTGGCGTGAAGGAGTGTCCCCACT